TAACATCTGTCAGGAAGACCTGGCTCTTCTTTCTGTTGACACAAGCTGATCAAAGGAGGAATTCCCACACCACTCTCTTACAAAACTACCACGCCACCCTGCCTGTACTGCTGTTCTCAGTTTAAAGCATGCAGAGTATTAATGTATGAACACACCTACAACTACTTATTTCACCACAAAGACATTATAAACATACCGTCACTTTCATTTCTTATATAAGAATACAAATCAGTAAACAGACACTATGTTCCGCTGATGATCGGTAAACAGTACATTCATCACAGCGATTCTCAGAAATCTGAATTAAAGCCATTCATAGAAAGACAGTGCAAGCTTAAATGCCTGCCTTGTGGTCACCACATGTGGACTAAACCCAGGCCTTTGAAGAGCTTAAGAATAGTCAGGGGGAAAGGAAATAAAGAAACACAAGGAATAACTAAACTCACAGACAGCTCTACTAGAGGTGCAACAGGGGGATAATTGTTTTCTCTTTATTGTTCTGCACTTTATTAGTAGTTCTTAAATTAAAGAAAGCTCTAAAACCTCGGCAAAATCCAGCCTCATTCTGAATACAATAACAAGGAAACTCGTATCAGACCTCTGAACAATAAAGTATGAAAGTCAACTCTGGATATTTGCACCCAGGCATTCCGGGTTAATACACTGAAGCAGAATACTGTTGGTGCTACATGAACGCTTCTACCAGTCATACACTGAAGAACAAACGCTATAAAACCATCACAGCAAGTCTAAGATTAGTAAACTTGGTAGAAAGCTTTCAGTCGTCTACAGTAACACGAAATTTGATCCTAACCTAAGGGCCTGTTTACAAGCAAATGAAAGCAATAGTTAAGATGACACTGAAATTGGTTTTTGTTGACAGCGTTTGCAGTGGGATGAGCAGCAGCGTTTTATAGTGTAAACGTGACAGGAGATAAAGGTTTAAGAAACATTAGAGGCCCCTCTGTCATTCTGATATAAGGATATTTTCCTATTAACAGAGGTTAACTGGTAAAAATTAAGGATGCTGCTGCTGCGCTGCCGAATGATGCTGCTTAATCACAAACCGAAAGCTCGACGATGCTAGCTGGGTTAGCCTGTAACAAGCCGGCAAGTTTGGGAACAGAAAAAAAATACAAACGATTCTCAAAATCACCTTTGAGCTCAAAAGGCAGCCTCGGGGACGAGTAAAATCAGCCTGTGGCTGTGTGTTACTGTACAATATCTTTTCTAAAACCCCAATTAAAAAGAAAACGTTTATCCAGTCCTCCGGGGGAGAAGCGCACAAAATGGCGACTCCGCGCAGCTCGGACTCCTTATTTTGAAGCCTCGGCAGCGTTTGGCGGCCTCGCCGTTAGTTTTTCTGAACTTGCTTCCAAAAACGCGAACCAGGTCGCGATAAAAACGACACTAGGCGTCAAGAACCGACATTAAAAGGGCGAATGTCGCCGCGCGTATTCTCTCCTGCCTTGAAAAAGTGCTATGCTAACCTATCCGACCCGCACCGAAGCTGCTAATAGCTAATGTTAGCCGGGCTACGCTCCGACTTTACGTTGTCGTGCGTAGCCGAGTGCAGAACACGAATCTGACGTTTCTTGACCTGTCAGACACGGCACAAATGCACAAATCGAAAGACATACATCGCCCACAACAAACAACACGCATTTAATACTGTATCGTCACAAAAACAATGAAACAAAGCGCCAATCCAGCTGCCTAAATATAAAACCGAACATACGCAAGTGTGCGTATTATTCCTGCAGAAAGCTACGTAGAATCTCCCCGTTCCCGCATTCCCGAAGAAAGACACGTGAGATTTCACGCGGTCCGACCCCTTTGCTTACACAAGCCTACGCAAAGAGCGTTGCGGGGGGCCAGCGTTGCGTAACGTCAGCCAGCTTTTTGCTCCGCGTTCACGGCTCCTACGTACAGAAAGGTGCGTATCTGCCTTTCTTGCATACGCCCGCTGCAAATGGCCTGGGTCTGCTAAAGCTAGCTAATAAAAACAACCCAGCCGCAAACGGCCAACCTTAGCGTTTCCTCTTCATCTGTGTATACAAACGCAGCGCAGAACACCCCGAGGTAACGGACGGCGCTATAATGAGCGGTCCGAAAGTGTCAGAATAGTTTTTCTATCCGCATCTCTACAGCCGAGGCCTCTTCTCCAGTCTCCTTACCGACACGATGACTCAAAATATTGACTGAGACACTCGACAAAGTCTCATAGAGTGAGAACATTACATGGTTGCTGGCATCGTTAAGGGGTCGTTAACGCAAACACGCGGCAAACGATAAACGGATATGTGGCTTATTTACCTTATTTTGTTCGGTTGTCAAGGCTGCGCGGGCTCTTTCTCTTTTTTTCCTCCCAGAATCCAGAACAAACAGCTCTTAGACGTCGATGACGTCATGCGCGTGCTGCACGCACGAAGCGTAAGGAGCAGCGCTGACATGAGAGTAAATAAAACGAATGATAATATTCTTATTAACGATAAACAAATGCACGAAAGTGTCCTCTTTGGTATTTCGACTTTTTATTTACCGGGGAATTAGGTTTGACTGAAAATTTACAGACTCACAGCTTCTTGTTTGAATTTTCCCGTTCCACCTTAAATGGTGCAGCAGTTACATTCTGGCGGCTCAGTTACATTCTGGCCTCAGGCGCCGGAACGTTAACGCTGCACCATTTAAGGTGGGACGGGAAAATTCAAACAAGAAGCTGGCGAATCGGAGCCCAACTTCAGCTTCGTAGCTCAGAAAACCGGCGTTACCATTGTAAACTCATTTGACAGGGAATGCATTTCTAAAATGATAATTATATTTTTTAGAAACTCGAATAACTGTAGACCTCAAAACTGAATAAGAAAGCGGCCTAAATGTAAATGGACTGTCATAATCACGCCGGTACTAAGGTAAAACTATCCACATTGCGACGCCTTGTGGTAAGAATAGGAAGAAAGCTTTAAAGTGGCATTTCGGTCTAAAGCAGCATGTAATTTGTTAAAAGGGGAACGCCTATGTAGATTTTAAAAAAAATCTGCATAATTAAATCATTACGATATAAACAACGTCATTCAGAGTGGTTTGATGTGAAATAGAGAAACGTGCCGAATCAGAATTGTTTACATTGGTAATGATAGGAACCAGGCGTCCAGCTCTAAAAGCTCCCTCACTGATGTCTGGTTCCTGTCACCACCACTGTAAAGAAATCTGAGTTGGTAGGTTTTTTTATAATGAACCTTTTCACATCAAACCTCTCTGAATGACTTTGCTTACATCTCAAGGACTGAATTATTCAGACATTTTGAAAAACTGATGGAATTCCCCTTTGAGTCATGTCTTATTCTGTAGTGCAGCAGTACATCCCCCAGCCACTCCAGTTTGACAGAATGTACGATTTTGTGCCATTTTCCTGTTATCATCCATCAGTGTTGTCTCACTACAATACCCAGTATGCATTGCTCAAATACATCACACAACCATTGGGAATCCCTATATCACTCAACAAGTCCTGACTGCTAGCCACTGACCTAGAGGATAATAAATATTGTATATTTGTGGTTCTGGCTGACATTAGTGATATAGCATTAACCCCAGGTGGTTGTTAAACGTTTCACTTTGTCAAGGGAATAATTCTGTTGAAGAATCAGACAGTTTGTGAAGAAAATTCAGACAGCCCGCCCCTAAGTATCCACCCCAGAGCTCTTGTAGTTTTTCAAAATCTACTTCCACCTCAAGACTCGTCATCATAAGGGAGTTTTCTAAACTATGAATTATTTCTGTGTGTGGTGTTTTAAAGTGATTGTACTTTGTAGACACTATTTCTTTAAGATGTCCTTCGTTTTACACTGCCTGACAACCTCTTGGGCACCGCTTGCTTTCTTTCGAATTTTGAATTTTCTTTTTTCGGATAAGTAAGAAAATACCTGCAACAGTTTTGTTAACACAAAACAGCTAATGTGTGATATAAGTATGCATTTCTATGTTTAATTTCTAATAAATCTAATAAATTTCAAATAATAAAGATTTTGCTTTATTCTGAAGTGAGCACTGTCAGTAACAAAGCACAGATTTACATGTATTTATATGTTATTTTTCTTCAAATGCATTTGATATTGTTTTCTTAGATATTTTTTTGTACAACAAGGACAAATTATAATGTAAACTAAATTAGAAAAAAGCAGAAAAAGATGAAAAGAAAAAGTAAATAATGAGGAATGGTAGAATGGATGTTAAAGGGGAATTCCACCAATTTTTTAAACATCCCTGCAAAATTCAATCAATAAAATATTAACAAATTCGGAGTCGACTGATGTGAAATGATTAATAGACCTTAATTTTTTTTTTTTTACAGTGGTGGTGATAGAAACCAGGAGTGTCCACATCGCCATTTTATGTACTATCCAAAATGAACAGTGCACCTACGTGTGCCTTCTGAGTTTTTATATATGTTGATAATAGTAGAATGGTGGTTATTGAGAAAAAATATGTTGTTTTTTGGGACTATTTTGCCGTACACTGTTAGAAATAAAGGTTCTGTGCAGGTAAATTTTTCGTTCATCAAGGTACAAACAATGTAAATGTTCCCTCAAAGGTACAGCAGTGGTTTTAGGTCCAATTGGGATCCCTAAATAAGTTTTTCCAGGTGAAAAGTATGTATTTGTACCTTTTCATAACCTAATGATTTAAAAGAGAACAATAAAATAAAAGGCCTGGAGACGAGACGGGGTGTGTGGAGTCAATACTTAGAAAATATAATTTCAGTGGATTAAAGTACAGTTATGTTCCCTCACTAAAGGTACTGAGATGTGCTCTTGAGGGTCCCACCCCAGTGACAAGAGGGGTGCTGCCCCAGTGACAGTTTCATTTTTGTTTTTTCACTTTGTTAACATCTTAATGACTTAAGCAAATTATGCAGAAATGTTGAAAAATTGGTAGACTTCCCCTTTAAACTGGCAACCGTGATTGGAGGTGGGTTTAATACTATTCCATCTGCTGCACTTCCAGCCAGGTGTTTAGTTGTGATAGGAAAATGACCTTGTGGATCAGCAGTCACACAGAGTTAGGCTGCAGTGAGAGGTTAACCTCTATGATACATACAAAGGCGAGAGAGAGAGTCAGCATGGATAGAGGTCTCTTTGTCATGGCATAGAAGACTAAAATAATGAGTCGTTATTTGATGCACCTCCTTTTGTTCCCCACTCGTGTAAGTTTGTGCTTTCTCTCTTTACTCTACTGGATCGTGGTCTACGGCACAGCTGCGATCACGGCCTGTCTGGTCCTGATCCGGATTATCTGGAATGGATTTTGGGACCCATATGGGACTTTTCATTGGACTGTCCGCCAACGACCCCCAGCATGTCTTCGGGACCCCGCACTGGGCAAACATGCCTACTTATACGGCAGGGTGAGGGGACTGATTTGAAACATTAAAAATCTTTAAGAGGCCTTGAACAGATTGTTACCTGTTTTATCTCTAATCAAATGCAAACTGGCAGATAAAGTCACAACAATAACCTCATGTTGTTGCTGAAAAGTGATCAAGCTGCTTCAGTGCATGTTCTTGATTTGAAAAGTGGGTTAAAGGTTAAAGCATAGCAGTATAACTTGTTCTCTTATGCCCCTTGTGTCTAAAAGTAGTTTTGTTCTCTCTCTCCTTCTCTCTTTGCACTCTCTCTCTCTCTACAAAGCAGTTGTCATTAATTTGCCATCGGCTAAAGAGATTTGTGCACTGATGGCATTAGAACAAACAGGCCTGTCTGCCAGCTGTTTCGGTCTCTGTGTTGGTGCTCATTAGAGAGATTTTGTAATTTCATAATTTCCACAGACATTACTACATCCTCATTACATTGAGGACCTCTTGTGGTTGGTATGGGCCAGTGCAGCAGTTCGTACACATTCATGTGCATAGGTTTTAGGTCCTTGTTTGAACTATGTTTAAAAAGCTATTTATCAGCGGAGTAATTGTTTATTTGATCAGAAAAACATTCATATTAGAATAAATACAAATAATATTAATACTGTAAGAAGTGATATTACGTATGTGTTCGTTTAACTGTTTGCAAACCTCTCCTCGTGGCACCCCAGTATTATTTGTAGTCACCATCCAGCAGCTGGTTGGGCTAATCACTCCTTCATTAAGTTATATCAAATGTGCTGTTCCATATGATGGCTGGGTGTTGAGGAGAAGTCTGGAACCAAACTTGGGTATATATATTATTTACAACTGCTGCGTCTGATCCACTTGTACCAGCACTACACATTCTAACACATACTAACATGCCACCTCCCACATAATATCTGCACTGTGCTGGTCATATGGGGGTCCTGGCTATTGAAGAACAGGGTGAAAGGGGACTAACAAAGTATGCAGAGAAACAGATGGACTACAGTCTGTAATTGTAGAACTACAAAGTGTTCCTCTATGTTAAGTAGAGCTGATATAATGTGCTTGGTGTGTGTGTATGTATGTATGTATACATACTTACATATGCACATGCTCACCAACCTCTTTATTAGGAACACCTCCTTGTATCTATGCTCACCATCCTATCTGCTCTACTTAACGTTGACACATTTCTACAACGAGACAAACAAACAGACATAACTACAGTAAAAAATAAGAAGATTTTATTTACTCCAAAAAAGTTAGTTGATGTCTTGTGAGCTATCACACTGATTTGTTAAATTCCATCAGCAGCATACCTGATTTAACATAACAAAGCTCTGACTAGTCAAACCAGTTATTGGATGATAATTACTGTGTATACTGGGCTTCTTCAAGGACAGATAAGATATGGTTATATGAGCCCATTAACATGCATTAAACTTATTGTATGAATATTATTTGTATTTATTTTATTATTAGTGTTTTTTTCAGAGTAAATAAAAGGCTTACTGCCTTTTTAAATGTAATATTCTCAGGTGCCAAAACCCTCAGCACAGTACTGTATATATAAAATAATCACTGCATCTGGTTTCCTGGGTTTGGGATTAACTCAGATTCAGTGTTCTGACCTCTTGTGGTTTGAGGCTGGTGATCTCATAAGCAAATCATTTCATTCAAAGAACGGTGATAACGTGTCCTGGGTTAATTGCTCTCTTCTCTTCTCTCTTTAGAGCTCAGGCTTGCGGTTTCACTATGTGACAAAAGGAGACCACAGAAAACCCCTCATGCTTTTCCTTCATGGATTCCCAGAAAACTGGTTACTCTTCTTTTGATATTTTATTTCCTGAAACACATTCCACTGAACTATTTTCCCTCCCTTTATATAGTTACTATGTTCTTAATTGGCCTGAAAAGTTTTTAACATGATTGAAAGCTTTTATTTTGTGTGGTTGTCTTGATTCTGAAGGAGAATGATTTGTCATATGAGTTATGAAACATTATTATATATTGAATATTGAATTGATCACAGAATTGTTTATGGGTTATTCACTTTATCTCTTGCAGAAGTGCTCAGAAGTACTAACCTAATATTATTTCTATCCTAAATCAAATTTAGCACAAATGATTTTGAAAACTGACTGCAAACTGAAAGATTTCAAAAATGAAAGTATATCCTCCAATAAATTAATCCGCTATGAGAATTAACATAGAAGAAGTTGATTGTAAGTGAAACAGTACTCTTTGTGTTGTATTTATACCCAGTTAATATTTCAGCTCAGTTCAGTCATTCGTTAAGCAGTTAAACTCAACAATAAGGATGTGGTTTAGAACTTGATGGCAATAAAAAAAACTGGAGCAAAGCTTTCAGATTTTGCAGGGTTACATGAATATTTTTTTTTTGCCTGAAGTTTTTCATGGAAATCTATGACCTGCCAGACTGTAAGGCATAGAATGACCTTTATACAGGCCAGCAACAGAATTATTGGTACCCTTCAAAACACACGGTAAACAATCATATAAAATAAACTATGATTCAAATGATCCTCCAAAATATTTGGAGAAATTGCTCACCATTTATCTACCATTAGTAAGCGTGTTGTTTTATTTTAGGATTAGTGTTTCAAAAACATATGGGGCAAAATTAGTGGCACCCCAAGCATAAAACCAAAGAAATTTGCATCTTTGCATCAATGACCATTTCCTGTTTCCCTGGGGTATAAATATGAAGCTACACACATGTAAAATCCCTTTGCCATCCATCAACATGGGTTAAAGCAAAGAACTGTCACTTTAAATGAGACATAAGGCTCTGAACCTTCACAGATTAGGAAGCTGGGGGGAAAAAACAGTAGTCAGTTGAAATCAGAGTAATAATTAAAAAGTTAAAAGCACAGAATAGTTGAAAATTTACCTAGAAGAGGATGCATGAGCTTACTGACCCCATTTACAGTGAGGAGGATGGCAGGCACTGCAAAGAGGAAACCAGACCTGCACAGGTTAGTTGAATTTTTGGCTTTTCAAATTTCAAAATCTGCTGTCAGACTTCACCTCCATAACTAGAAGCTCTTTATAAGCCTTTTCTAAGAGCAGGCCACAATGCAAATACAAACGCAGTGCCTGTACTTAGTAAAATGTCTTGGAGCTGTAAGTGGAATCATGTGATGTGGGTTTTCAATTAGGTTCAAATGTGGAACTTGTAATCTAGCAAAAATAGAATGTTTTCTTCATGCACACCTTTGTCACATGTGGTGAAGAAAAAGGGACAACATACAGTGAAAAGCACCTGATACCCTCTGTCAAATACAATGGTGGATCACTGAATGTACTGGGGCTATTTTGCTGCTAGTGGTTCAGAAGCCCTTGTGAAAATCAATGGCATAGTGAATTCCACTACATACCAGAAGATTTTAGCCCAAAATCTGTCTGCCTTTGTCAGAAGACTGAAACTTGGCCTTGGGTGGACCTTTCAGCAAGTTAATGACCCCAAACATAAAAAAATACCCAGAAATGGTTGCGGGAACACAAAGTCTGACCCTCTCAGTCTCTGGATTTGAACCCAGTTGAAAACCTGTGTTGTGTATTGAAGAGGGTAGTTCACAAGAGAACACCAAAGAATATCAAGGAACTGGAAATGGTCTCAGATTCATTAAGGTTGGACTGGAGTATTACAAACAGCGGCCCAGTGCTATTACTCATGCCAGATGAGGCTTAACCAAATATTAATATTGGGTATGCCAACATTTCTCAAAAAATAAAGTGTTACTAAAGTGTTTTTTTGTTCCAAAACACAGTGTAAAAATAAAAATATGCAGCTAAACCATTCAATCCCAAAATATCACCCATTGCATGTGAGGTTCATTTAATGTATTGATTTCAGCTCATTTTCATGAAGGGTGCCATTAATTCTGGAGTTGTAATACCTCAGTGTTGTGTTCAGGTACTCTTGGCGTTATCAGTTGGTGGAGTTTAGCAGGTGTTACCACACGGTGGCTCTAGATCTGCGTGGCTGTGGGAACTCTGATGCTCCCTCTCAGCTGGAGGACTACTCACTGGAGAAACTCTTATATGACATCAGAGACACGATTGATGAGCTGGGTGAGATTTTTTACTGAGTCTCTGTGTGTTAGCATGCAGTGTTGGTGGTCTCTAAAGCTGTACTGCATAAGTCCTGTTATTCATGTATGCAAATTGCTAAGAAATAATAGCTGTAGATTTTTTGCTATAGGACACACCAGCTGTATACTGGTGGGCCATGACTGGGGTGGTATGCTTGCTTGGCACTTTGCCCTGGAGAGGCCGGACATGGTCCAGCGTCTGGTCATCATGAATGCTCCTCATCCTGCCTCATGGCTGGGTAAGAATGACAACCTCTTCTCTTACTGCTTTTGCAAAAATCTGTATATACAGTGTCAGTCAAACATTTGGACACCGACTCACAGAGGGCTTTTATTTTTACTAGGTTCTGAATCAGAAATTGTATTTTAGATTCTTCAGAGTCCAAACTCTTCCACCAAATATCAGAAGAGTTTAGCCAAAAATCTGTCTGCCTCTGCCAGATGGCTAAACTTGACCTAAACTTGTCTTTCAGCAAGACAATGACCCCAAACATGCATTAAAATCTGCACATCTGGACTTGTAATGCATGTACAGTACTGGGCAAAGGTTTGGAATAATGTGTCATATTAGCTATTTACAATGTGGATTTAAAGGGGAATTCCACCAATTTTTCAAAATTGCTGCTCAATAAAATGTTCTTCTGCTCAAACACACCCGCTAAACCTGGCAATTAACAAATGAGTTGAATCAGCAAAGCTGGAAAGCCATCAAACTGTTTTGGACACCAGCCCTCCAGGACTGTTGTTCGCCTCTGTCTTAAACATTTTTGATAGCGCAGGGGTACAAGCAGAGTGTAGAACAGTAGCCAAAGCAAACTTATCTATTGAGATCTACAACAATTTTTCTCATAGTCAACATCACATTTAAAAACTAGGGTTTTGTAGGGTTTTGGAGAGTAAATAAAATGGCTATATTTGCATTGTAGACATCAGGTTCCAATCACCACCACAATAAAGAAATCAGAGTCACTAAGTTTCTCTACAATGCACCGTTTCACCTCACATCATTCTGAATGACTTTGTTTACATCTTAACAGTTATGCAGATTTAGTTTAATTATGCAGAAATTTAGAAAGACTGCTTTTCTAAAATTCCCCTTTAAATTCTACAAGCTATTCACCAAAAGGTATATTAAATGATGTGTTCAAGTGTGATGTGTTTCAGGAATTCTATTTATTTGCAATAGAACAGAGAGTCTTTTTTGTAGTGGTCAAATCTAAAGTTTGAACCAAACGTATCTTATATTACAGATGCAGTTTTGAGACGGCCCTCTCAGCTCCTGCGTTCAGGCCACGCGTGCTTCTTCCAGCTTCCATTCCTGCCTGAGATTGCTCTCTCCTTAGAGGATTTTAAGGTAGAACTGTATTATTTAAGTACAAGTTACAGATTTTTCAGCATCACTCAGGAAAAAAACCCCTGAAAAGAACTGAATATAATTTCAAAATATTCAGTATTTACGGTGTGCACCCCTTGCCTTCATTACAGCTTTCATTCTTTTCTGGGAGACTTACATCCAGTTTTTTTAAAATAAGTTCAGTCTTAGAAGTTAGTTACACTTTCTGCTCTTCATATATTACAAATTTAGACTCATCGGTCCCATAAAACCTCACTCCACATCTCAGATGTCCAGTTATGGTGTTCTAGTAAAAATTTCCTTCCTTTTGGCGTTTTCTCAGTAAGAGCTTCTTGTCAGCTACACATTCCTTTCAGACTCATAGCGCTGAGTTTTCTTCTCACAGTGGAAGGATGGACAGAAACATCTGTGGATGTTTTCAGATCTGAAACAACTTGATTTTCTCCTCTCTCTCTCAAAGATGAAAGCTTTAAGTACTGTTTATCTAATGGAGACAGTTTTGGAGTTGCGGTGGTTTGACTACTGTGGTTTCCTTTTGATGGATTTCCATGTTTAACAGTCATTTTCGCTGTTTGTTTACACACACACGGTATCTTTACAGTTGGTGCGGAGTATGCTCTGTGGAGGCCGTGTGGGGATCAGAAACAGGGCAAGGAGGCTGACAGAAGCACAACTGGAGGGCTACCTGTACCGCCTGTCTCAGCCAGGAGCACTCACCGCCTCCCTCAACTACTACCGCTCTCTTCTCAGGTCATTCATTGAATTTCATTCATTCACTTTTACATCTATTAGGACTGCATGATATAAACAAAACTCTGTCTTTCGATTACATTACTGGACATCATGATATGTCTTGTAATATAACCTCACTGTCATAGCAAAAGTCCCACTGTATGCCATTTGCAGCTTTTTGGACTGTGTAAGCATTGCATGATTAATGGACCAATAGAAATGGGCCAAAAGAACTTGGAATGAAATCTCATTACAATAACATGCATTAAAGTTAAAGAGCATGCTGACCTAAACCTAGCATTTAATGTTATTTGTTATGTTATTTAGTGTTCTGTGGTGCAGCACTATATCCCTCAGCCTCATCCGTTTGACAGAATTCATGATTTTGTATCATTTTCTAGTTTTCATCCATCATCAGCGCTCAACAAATCCTGCTGGCTACTGACCAAGAGGCTGATAAATAAATATGTGATGCCAGCTAGCATTAACCTCAATTGTTTTTTTTTTGTTGTTGTTAAAGGAATAAGTCAGCAAGCCAGGTATCCAACTCAAAGTGTTTGTAGTTTTTCAAACTTTACTTCCACCTTCAAGATACATCATCAGAAGTTTTTTTTTCCTAGTCTTTTAACCCAGAAATCTCATTTTAGAGAGTACTGCGGCACCACTGTAAAAGGCCAGAGTGCACCTTTAAGAATGTTTTTTCCCCTCTTCTCCTCTAAAGTTACCAGATTTTGTTACCTTGATTCATCAAAACATCCCTAAAAACTCAACTGGGAAATGTGAGAATTAGTCAGCTTGGCCACAGTAGTAGTATTAGTAATTAGTTTGAAGGCTTATTTACATATTGCAAGCCATGGCAATATATCCCATTGCAAAGGCCAATATTATAAACAATATATTGAACAGTCCTTTCAGTGTTTATGCACCAGTACAATAGTTTGGGTTTAAAGTCGCACAGTATTTGTCTTTTTTGCCACATCAACCACCACTTGTTAGGAGTTTACCACGTTAAGCCCAAAGGACCACATGAAACAAGTAAAACATGCATTCCTGAAAAAACAAGAAGAACAGAAGTAAAACAAACACTGGCTGATGACACAAACACTTATCTGCACCAAAACTGTCTTCTAATTTAGATTCTTCAAAGTAGCCCCTTTGCCTTGATGCAGGTTTACATGCTCTTAGCATTCTCTCAAGCAGCTTCATGAGGAGCCACCTGAGATGCTTTACTAACAGGCTTGAAGAAGTTCAGCATATGCTGAGACCTTGCTGACTGCTGAAAACAACGTGTTGTAGGTCGACTTCTTGTGGGTTGTAACTATGACCAATATTAAGTTACGCATATAGAAATTAGAGCTTGTTACAGATGTTACTAAGATTAACATAAACAGGAAACTTCGCTTTGCAGAACTTCAAAGCGTAAACTGCCATACAGAGGTTTCAAAATCATAACGGCTGCGTTGTAGATTGAAGAAGTGGCTGTTCACAGACTACAGCATTTTCCACGCTAACGATGAAACCAAATAGACAAGCCTGGCCAACAATCATCAGGTCGCAAGTTTGGCTGAAGTTTATGCATTGCAGATTATTTATAATAACAGCTGGAAAAGTAAAGTATGGACAGAATTTAGACTTCAAAATGGCTACTGCTGTTTTTAGCCAAGCAACATACTTTTGTTCACTTATATACACAACAGTATTTCATACAGTGTCAGAAAACCACATAAGCAAGCCTATTTGCAATTACTCAACAACCTGGTGCAGTTTGAGGCAAGTGTGCAATGATGCTATAAGCTTTTATTACTTGGCAACATTAGCCTTGTAGCTCAAGTGGAAAATGAAAGAAGCAAACTTCAGACAGCAAACATGTCTTGACTGCTCTGCTACATAAATGTAATCACTGGCAAACCATCACTTAAAAAGCATTTTTCTATTGAACGTAAGGGTTGTTTATCCATTTTTTTCTCTGTACAAAGGGCATCATTACAAGTTAAAACAAAGTGAGGCTGCATAAATGAAATGAAAACCCACCGTGCGCACAGTGAGCTGTGCCAAGAAGAGTTTCTGTCAGTGTGCAGCAGTGCTTAGTGAAGCAGGTAGCCTAACAGCTACCATTTGTTTATCAAGTTCCACGTATGGAAGTCCTGTTAATATTGTTTGTTTGTGGTTTAATGATGAAATATTAAGCATTAGATATCATGAGAATAACTCTTTGTACTTTGTTTAGCTAGTTTTATGTATGAAATCTGCAACTTTTATGTGGTGATAGTATTGTATGCAGGCTATGTTGGGCCCGCCCCCCGCCCCGCTTATTGGATCAAAATTGTACCCCCGCCCCCCGAGATGTTTTCATGATAGAGAACAAAGAGTAACATAAGTTATTAGCAAGAGCCATGCATACAATACATTTTATTCAACATTTCACATACTGCACTGCACTGAATCCAATTAAACAGGACTAATTATAGTACATGTTTCATACAGTATTGCCCACCACTAATTGACATCATCACCTGATAAAAGGTTTCAGCAATAAAAAAGAAAAAAAGCTATCTGAACTTGCAGACTCACTATAATGTGATCTATTTTCCTTTTGCTGCAGTAACACTTTGTATAAGCATCAGGACGTGGCAGTGACCTGTATGTTGATTTGGGGAGAAGAAGATAACATATTGGTGGAAGGGATGTCTGGTGGGACGCGGCCTTACGTTAGAGGCCCTGTCGTCGTTCATACAATCCCGGACTGCAGTCACTGGGTACAGCAGGATCAGCCGGAGGTGGTCAACAATCTACTGTGGGACTTCCTTATGGACAGAGATAGTATATCAAACCACACAACACATAGGCTCTTCTCTAACGCCTCTGCATCAGGAGCATTAAACGGTGACTCCAGGAATCTGTGACTCTAGCTTTGACTCCTATTTGTGCATTATTAAAGCAATAAGCCATGAGAGGCTGTGCATTACAGTGATTTTATAATTCCCACAGGTAAGGGTGTTATTAGGCATGACGCAAAGTGGAGTAAAATCCCCTTACCCTTGATAAAAGCACTGTAATGCACAGCCTCAAGCGGCTTATTGCTTTTATGAAATGGTGGACAACATAAAATGTAATGAGATATACAAATTTTCAAGTTATTAACAATAATAATCAATACAAACAACTAATCCACCAAAACATGTAGTTAATCTACAGTATGTTATTGTTGCACAATCAACTATGCACTGCTGAAAGAAGACAAGAATGTTCAGTTGCCCATCATTGTGTACTGCAGTCATTTCATTAACTTTCAACTTTTTGTTGTATAATAATAAATTTATCCTAACACAGCACTGTTTAATGCATAAACCTTCGCTTTACAAGTATTTTCTCTTATAAATTACCTCTGTGACGACAATGCTAATTTCCGTTAGTGCCTCTATGAGCTTTCCAGTCTTATTTAGCACCAAGCTAACCCTGTTGTGCATCACTTTTCCCATACTATAGCTGAATCTTAAATCGCTCCCTACTCCCTTCACAGTACAATATGTAGGAAATAAAATACTGGCTCCCGCACTCAAGCAGTGCTCTATGTATCTAATAAATAGTCATTTGGGATTCAGCCACTTGTATAATTTCATAGCCATAGGAGTTGTTTAGCCTGTATGTATGATATGAATGTGTGTTTATATATATGTATATGTAAATATGCTCAGCCAGCATTTTATAATACCAGATAGAGTTGTTTACGGGTGTATCTTTATCTATGAAGGACTTTGGACTTGGCCATGCTTCTGGCCAGGTCTTTATTTATCATTTGTACACAGTAAATCTTTGACCTCACAACAGTTCTGTCACCGTTGTTTAGGAAATGATCTATGAATCTCAAACCACCATGAAATCGTAAATAATGCAATCTCAAATTTCACCACAAACTGATTTGATACTAATTATATTGACATATTTCAGAATAGTTAAAAAACATATTTTTTATACTTGTTTGTAATTTATGTAGTTCTATGCATCAGAATAGTAATTTTTCAACCTCTTTTTTCCATTTAAATGAAACATTACTGTGCCTTTAAGACTGGTACATGTAACTGATTCTGTTTCTGATTGGCTGCCCTGTATTCAAAAAGCTGTCATGGGTCTTATCAGATTAATGTGAAGTGGTGAGTTAATCTGCTGTAGGCTGAGTAGGCAGATACGTGTAAATGCTTGGATTTGACAAAACTAATGATCGTTTCCATATATAGGCTGGAGAGTGAGTGGTGCATTGCTTATACGTTTGTTCCTCATATCAAAATTATTAGTAGCACATTAGATATTGATGGTTTTGATAAAGACAAGCATTTAACATATATTAATCCTGTTCGCCTTACTGTTCTCACCGAATTCACAGACGTGTCTGCGTTGAGAATTATGCCTGGTTTTCATTTGACCTGTAACTGATACTGTAATGACACATCATATGTCCTCACAGAGGTCATTAAGCACCATAACCTCTGCCTAGTATCACATACAAGAACTGAAAATGAATGAAATGAGTCAGGTTTTGGAGGAGGACTAGGCCTGAAGCTCATCCTCCTTCCAATTTAACATGCTATAAATTACCATATTTATCTTCTGTTTGCTGTGCTGAAGTTTTCACATCACATCTCCTCCCTGTTCCTCAGTCCTGTCCCTCAGCCCTACCTCTTCTCATCAAAAATATAGGTCTGTCCTTCTCATTTAAAGAGGAATTCCACTGATTTTTCAAAATAAAAAAAACTGCATAATTATATGGTTAAGATTAAGATATAGACAAAGTCATTCAGAGTACTTAGTTGTGAAATTCTCTGTTCTAGAGGAACTTACCTGATTAGAATTGTTCACAGTGGTGGTGATAGGAACCAGATGTCTGAAGAGTTTAAAGCCTCTAAAATCTCCCTCACAGATGTTACTTTGTGCTAGTTTTCAGATCAGCTTTTGACCTAAAGTATTATAGGTGGAGAGGTACATTCAGGGAGGTGTAACTCTTGCGAGAAAGAAGCATTCTTAATTACAGGGCCAGAGTGGGACTCGGCCTCAGGGTAAGGTGGACTCGGAAACTGTTCTCAAGACCAGCTGAGTGCACTGCCTCCACAGAATAAAACAGTCTTTTCTCTACATGTTTAAATAAAATCTGTTCTGCCGGTTGAGAATGTAATTGATCTTTCTATGATGGCTTAACTGGGCATAGTTTGTTTGTTGATGTTTATTGGTTCCAAAACTCAAACATCTCCTGAGGGCAGATCGGAATGTTATCATTACTATGGTTTCATTCAATAATAAAATGGATGTATGTTGTTTGGTTTATGCTCTGTTGACTTCAGATGGTGATTATGAATAAGTTTTCGAGAAGAAGGAACAAAGAAGAACCAACATCGTTTACTTCTAAAGGTTACAATGCAGACAAAGTTCAACTGAGACTGTAATACAGTAATAATTAACAGTACATATCATTTAGTGCTATATTTTACGAAATATATTACAAAATATAAGATTAATATTTATGCTTATCATGCATAATGAATGTACAGTTAACTACAAATGAGTTTCATTTTTCCCCCTTCCTTTTCGCACTTAATATACATTTAATATATATTAAATATATATTTAGCGTAATTACAATTACAATTTAAATGCACTTATGTTGACATGGGTTGTTCCAAAACAAGACATTTAGGATGTATTCAAGCAGGGGTGCACAACTCCAGTCCTAGAGGGCCTGTGTCCAGCACACTTTGATAGTTTCCCTACTCAAACAGACTCACTAACCCTTGAAATTACCGGATGAGTTGAATCAGGTGTGTTTGAGCAGGTAAATCACCAAACTGTGCTGGACGCTGGACCTCCAGGCCTGGAGTTCTGCACTGCTGTATTAAAGTATGATTAAAGTGTAAAGACTAGAAGTGTGCACTTTTCATATTCAATACACTTTTGAATAGTACGCTTAAATGCATGTTTCTTTCACAAGGGAAGAGCAAAACGGTCCCTAAAGAAAACATATTTTTTCGGATTTAACACTATTTTACCATCATCAACATACAAAACTCAAAAGATGCGTGTAGGTTTTGGATAGCAAATAAAAATAGACACTGTGACCCCTGGTTCCTATCAGCTACACTGTAAAGAAATACTAGACAGTAAGCTTCTCCATAATAAGCCATTTCACACCAAACCACTCAGACTGACTTTGTTCAGATCTCAATCACTGAGTTAAGCAGACATTTAGACAAATGAGCGGAATCCCCCCTTTAAAGCGGCAGCAGCCCAGAACTGCAGCCTACGTTTTCAGTGTTCTCTGCCCTCCTACAGTCACACCATATCTTCTTACACTAAACATGCACATTGAATGCCTGGTCTGAGCTCACAGATGATTTTAATAATAATAATATTAATAATAATAATAATAATAATAATAATAATGATAATACTAATAATAAATGTATTTATTTACAGAGCACTTTGTATACCGGTGACAGCTCAAAGTGCTTTACAGACAGATGATAAAGCTTAACAGTAATAGAAGGAACTATGAGTGTTCATTTAAAATCATATAAGACCACGACACAGATCAGATTAAAAAGATAAATACCAAGAGATGTAGAGTTTTCATTATTAGTGAGCATTCAGCTTGCCTGTCTAATAGAAGGTGGAACTGAGTTCCACAGTTTAGAGGCATAATAACTGAAGGAGGCCTTCCTGTGTTTTCTGTATTTTACTGAATGTATTTACATAATGACAGTATCTGCAGATCTAAGATCATCAGCGGTGCTTTAAGGTCATTTAGAGCCTTAAAAACTATTAGCAGAACTGTAACATCTATCCTACAAGATACAGTAGGTCAGTGCAGTTCTTTTAAATCAGGAGTGATATAATCTCTTTTTTTGCTTTTGTTACGATGCCCGCTGCTGCATTTTGTATGAGCTGTACAGGATGTATTGTTTTCTTAGGAAGCCCAGTAAAAAGAGCATTACAGTAATCAAGTCTGCTTGTAGCACATGCATGAACAAGTTTCTCTGAGTCACTCTGAGATAGAAAAGGGCCGAACTTGATCTTTTTGTGCAAAGAAATGTAAAAGTAACTTCCTGTAGAAGTTATAATAGAATGCAGTTCTCCTAGGCACATTAACTTGATCCACTGCAAAGCATCAGTGCCAGAACTATGACGATGAGCTGATTGATGAGCTTCAGATGTGCTTGATACACATATTTTGTATATTTGTACTATTTGTCATGTGTATTTTGTGTGCTCTATGCAGTATGTGTGGCCCAGATGTTACAACGGCTGTTCCCGTGAACTAAGGATTAGTTATTTGACATTCAGTGTTAACAAAATTCCCCTTTAGTCTTCCTGTGTGAAGCCTGAGTGCAAGCTTTCACGGTATACACTATGCTGCAGTATTTTTTCTGACATCTGGTGAGAAAGTAATGTCACATATTAGAACTACAATGAAATACTATGAATCATTCCGTTAAACAGGGCTAATTATGCTCTCTTGGTTATCAAACATGCAGTTGGACAGTATTTTTTAAATACAGACTTTCATTAAACCTCGCTATATAAAGTTTCGGTTCAGTGACAGAATCAAATCTTTTTTCCTGTTGAGATTGTAGAAGTCAGCCAACTTCACTCCGATGCTCTTTGGCAAACTCCAGACACGCTTTGATGTGGTTTTTCTTCAGCAGTCGCTTCTTTTCTAGCCACCCTCCCACACATGCCAGTTGTGTGCCAAGCTCTTGATATCATTTTTATTTGAAAAAAAAAAGTTTGTAGTACTTTGAACTATTGAATCTTTTTACCTGAATATTTTCTTGCAAACTGTAAGGATATAAAAAACAAAATGTCACACAAGTAGAAGAAAAACCTCAAGAACATTATATATGTTACAATTACAAAACACTATATCACTATATTTAGGTTTAAAACACTACTTCAACTACTCACTCCTCCAAACCTTGTACTGTGGCAATGAGAATTTGGTCACTTAAACTGTAACCAAATGTTGGTCACTTAAACTGTAACCAAATGTTACTATAAATCTATTTAAAATAAATGAAATCATTCAAGTTGGAAGTTGCTGTTTTTAACTATTCAATCAGGCATCACTGTGTGTATATTCAAAAAAAGAAAAAGAAAGAAGAGTTTTAGTCATATTTAATTTTTTCAGGTTTCGTTGGATAGCGGTTAAGGCTGTGTTATGCAATATGACAATATTTAGTACTGTCACAATATGATACAATATGCTTTTCTGATCATACTGTGTATATCACCAGTACTTGTATAACACTGACCAACTGCATGCTTCTTTATAAAGAGACCAAAATTAGAATTTGTGAGAAAATATGATTCAGTGCAACTCAGTATACCAAAAATGGAATTAAAATCATTGTAATCATAGTTTTTGGTAGTATTTTTAAATAATGTTGCGCTATTGTTTTTTTCTCTGTTCCAATCAGATGTCTAAAAAATAAATATTGTGACATATTGTGTATATGATAATTTTTTTAAATATTGAGATTGCCCACCTCTAGCTCCTATGGAAGCCCATGCCGACTATTCAAAATAAAAAAAATCCAGCACCTAATTATTATTTTTCATTGTTAAGTGAACTATGCCATTATTTTGTTATACCAGCTCCTTATTTTGAGATACTAAGTCAGCATTTTGAGATACCAAGTCATTCATTTGACATATGGTCTCATTATTTGGAGATACTAAGTCATAAGAGATACTAAGTCATTAATTTGAGACAGAGTCTCATTAATTTGAGATGCAGTCTCATTACTTTGAGATCAAGTCAACATTCTGAGATACCAAGTCATTTATCTGAGATTATTCAGAGAAACTTTATATATTGCTGTTGTCAGGATAAAACCTCATATCTAAATTTTTGTTGTTTTTTCATTTTTGACATAATTTCAAAATGACCCTTGACCTTTACATTGCGTGCAAATTTCATGATGAACTGAAGAAGGTTTTTTCCTTCTCCTGTAAAGTTATAATTTTGAAAATACAGTGTTTTGTTGCGTCAATAGCGATATATATATATGTATATATATATATACACTTTTAATGAGATAGTATTTCTAAATAATGACTTAGTATCGCAAAACAACGGCATAGCAAATCACTTCACCGTGAAAATTAGGTGCAGCAATGTTGCTCCACGAATTCCAGTGTGTGTCATGTTGGTGAGAGTTAAGACGCCAGCTGCAGTACAGTTATTACTCAGGCTACGTAGGAGACGTAATAAATCCCAGCCAATCAGAGAGGCGGGATCTCAGCCACAGAGTTTACGGGCATGAGCCATAAATCATATCTCCGCTGAAGACGGGTGTCGAGGCGTCAGTCGCTGAAGAAAGAACACCCATGTAGGACCACCAGACTCAAACCAGCAGAAACATTTCTGGGATTTTGTGGACGCAGCGGGAAAGTTGGGACGGTGGGTGAGTAACTGGAATCTCTGTAGACACATTCAGCTTGTTTCAGGTCTTTCGGTGGAGTTTTAAAAGCGGGACGTGATCTATCTTCCGTGTTGTTATCGGGAATTGTATCTCATGTGGAAGGAAGAGTTGACTTGGAGGAGACCATCCGGATTAGATCCAGTCGAGGACTTCACTCAGCAGGAGACTGAGGCGGGGAGGCTAACAGCTCGATGTAGCTGCCTCCATAATGTCGTTCAGTGTCGGTGGATGGAGTTTAAACATTTTTGTCTTCTGTTTTGCTGTTTTTTTCCCTCCTTTTTTAAAAGTTTGGTTCAGTCTCTGAAAACCGACACCTCTCACTCACCTCTTCACCTCTGGCCGTCCATTGTTCTTTCAGAAAAACCAGAAAAACCGGAACGTCGTTGTCAGATGTGGACTCGGGGGTCAGTGCAGGCACTGATAGAGACTTTAATGTTCAGCACTGAGTAAGTTAAGTGAGAAGGGCCGAAGCTGAAGTAACTGCTGCATCGTTTAAGGTGGAACGGGAAAATTCAAACAAGGGGCTGGCGAGCAAGAAGCTGACTTCAGCCTCGTGGAGAAAGGGTGACTAATTTCGCAGTGTGTTCTCAAAACCAGTCAGCGAAATTTGGTTCGTTCGAATATCCCGGTCCACCTTAAATGCTACAGCTGATACGTTCTGGAACCCGCAGGCGCGGAGTGCAGCTGCTGTACGATTTAAGGTGGAACGGGGAATTCGCATAATAAGCAGCAAAACGTCTCGTCCGTGAGGAAACAGTGCAGAGGGCCCTGATTTAAGTGATTTACCAGGACTTTTTTTTATCAGTTTGGCAGTTTAATTTAGTGTAATTGGGACGAAAACGAATCTCGGAAGAATGATTTACTTTTAGGGTTGGGTTATAGGCAAATGTTTAAGGTTTCTAAATGCCTCGCATTACGTACTGGTGAGTCAGACGTATTCTGATTACTTTATTGTTTTCAATTAGGGCTGTTCCACATGCAGAAGTATAGAAGCAGCCTCTGAAAGAAAGTGTGCTTGTCCATAGAAGTAGCCTTGAATTCTGTAAAAGCTCCAGGCTGTTCAGTAGGTGTGTCACTTCCACTTTTCCTTTTTGTTGCATGATGTGTCACTGGGGAAATATAAAATCACCATCAGGGTTTTTAAGCTTTTAAACCCACACAGGAATCAAAACACCTTAAACAGGTGCCTGAAATAATTTACATTTTAAATTCACCTCCACACATGTATTCTGATATACCTCCTCACTTCTCTTTTTCTAGGACACAAGCTGGACATTTGATGGGATGCCACCTTGGGTTGAACCGACTGTTTCCTATGGCGGGTGATTTACTACCACAGGAAGGGGAAATCTAGCTGATGACGGTTGGGTCACTTCTCTGACCCTGAGCTTTTCCTTGGCAATGCACTCTGAAGAGTGCGAGGGACTTGGGCAGAATGTCTCGTTCTTCTACTCTCAGAGTAAGAAGAACATCAGTGCACAGTGGAAGTCAATTGACTTTGTAGTGGTTGGACTCGGAGTGCCTGTCTGCATCCTGATCATCCTCGCCAACCTGATGGTCATGGTGGCCATCATCTTGAACCGCCGCTTCCACTTCCCCATCTACTACTTGCTGGGGAACATGGCAGCAGCTGACCTCTTCGCAGGCATCTCCTACCTCAATCTGATATTTCACACCGGCCCATGGACCATCGGGCTGTCCCAACAGCAGTGGTTCTTCCGCGGAGCCCTGATAGAGATGAGTTTGACGGCCTCTGTGGTCAACCTGCTGGCTGTGGCTTTAGAACGGCATCAGACTATCTTCACCATGCAGCTGCACAGCACCATGTCCAACCGCCGTGTGGTGTTGCTCATTGTGGCTATCTGGGCACTGGCTATCATCATGGGCCTGGTGCCCACCATGGGCTGGAACTGCGTGTGTCAGCTGGACCAGTGCTCTGCCGTGGCCCCACTTTATTCCCGGAGCTTCCTGGTGTTCTGGGCCTTGCTCAATCTTCTCACTTTCTTTATCATGGTAGCCATCTACACTCGCATTTTTGTCTATGTTCGGCGGAAGAGCCAGAACATGGCCCTGAGCTCTATTCAGGTCACGAATGGCGACACCCTTGTGGGCCTGATGAAGACGGTCTCCATGATTCTGGGTAAGGTGGTCCTTTTCTCTGTACTAAGGTTGCACAGCATGTGGCCAATACCACAAGAGTTCGACAAGTTTTAAGTGTGAATTTTTGCCTAATAAATCAGAACTGCGTGTAGATGAGTAGGAACAATCAGAAGCAACCAAGCATTCATATGTTGCATATGACAACCACATCTAACTGTCAGGCACATTAAATTCAGCATTCAGAACGCCTGAAAGTTGATTTAGTGGCCTTCTTGGCCAAAAACAAACAGAACTGGCGCCGCTTGGATAAAACATTTGAAGTGTTTATCTTACAAGTTAAGTGCTTAAAGGATCAGTTTAAATTTGTACATTTTTATTTATTTTTCAACTGAAGTGCAGAAAAAATTTCCCACACTACCAGCCCACCATCTGAGTGTGTTTTCAGTGTGCACTGAAAAAGGGGGGGCGAGTTGACGCTACTACAAAGTGTTCTAAAGCTAGAAAACATATCAGGGCTGATTCAGGACACAGACTAACGCTACACATTAAAAAAAAACTTGCCAAAGAAAGAGTGGGACAAATATAATCTGTGCATCTTAATGCTGCAGACAATGTGGTTTTGACATTTAGATCGTTCAGCTTAACAGTTATGATAGAGTTGGTTGACAGTACATTTGTCAGTGAGCTAAAGCTCATTTATATGAACAACAATGATGTACAAGTCATGTTTTGCCAGCTTCGGTACATGTAAAGCCTGCATGTGCAGCCTCAAGATCACTTGTCCTGTAACTTTGTATGTTGTTGTCACCAAAGTGCAGACTTGGAGAAGAACAGCAGGGCTTATGGCACCTTTTGGAACAGGGCTTATGTTTATTTACTGTAAGCTATGAGCTTCTTGACCGTAACAGTTTTAAAAGTCAATTATTTTGGCCTATTTGTACATCTATCTAGTTACTGTTAATAAGATTATATTACTAAAAATGTTTATAAAATGGTTTAGTGTTGTGGGTAATACTGCTGCCATCCACATAGCAGACTAGGGTTCATTTTCCCACCATGCTTTACCAATAAGAGTCACTGGGCAAGAATAGTAATGCTACATTTGCCCACCTCTGCGACATTATTACACTGTAAGTGGCTCTGGATAAATGCCATAGTGTCAGCTAAATGCCATATATGTACTTTTACGTATGGCATTACGTACAAAAAAAATGTACTGGAAGTTTAAGAGAGTAAGAAAGACGGTAATATTGTAGTTTATTTTAAGACAAGCAATGAAGTACAGTACAAGTAACAGTTTGTAAGAGTTTGCCTGGTATGCAGTCTGGTTTTTTTTGGGTCCTTTTGGAATGATAATTGTATAGTGACGCTTTCTGGGAAACAGATGTTCATGGGCAGGAACGGCAGTTCCTAATGAAAACGAGTCTGAAGTGCGATTCACTGTTTGTGGCTGTGTTGTGCAGAAAACAGGATGTGGGACCTGACACACAAACCACAAGAAGATTCACGACAGCTTTTGTTTGCATGTTGTCTCGTTTGCCCTCAGGTGCCTTTGTGATCTGCTGGACTCCGGGTTTGGTCATTCTGTTGGTGGACGGGCTTAAGTGTACAGAATGCCATGTTCTGAAATACGAGAAATACTGCCTGGTCGTGGCCGAGTGCAACTCCCTGGTGAACCCCATCATCTACTCGTGCCGGGATAAGGACATGAGGACTACATTCAAGCGCATTCTGTGCTTCCTCTGCAGGCGAGGGAGGGAGCAGGAGGATGACCCCTCCAACGTCCAGTGTGACACTTTGAAAAGAGAGTGTCTGCTGACGGAGAAATGCTCAGAAAATTACAACAACGCTCTGTGAGGATCTCTCGTCTACTGTCCTTTACGAAACAAATGCAATCATCGTTTAGTCTCGGGTACATGTAGCACATGTGACTTTGGAGCGCATAACAGTTTTGTTCCCCATCATTTAACTGAATTTGTTCTTGCTACTTCTGTTTTACGGATGTAAGAAGAGTGTGATGTGTTGGCTGACTTAGGGAAATGTGCTGACTTCTAAAAAGAAACCGCAGCAGACACATTACGCTTTAAGTTTCTTTTACTGAGAGTAAGTTTCTTTAGTCTCAGTAATTGTGAACTCTTTGGTCATTGATTTGAGGTAGCGTCAAAAGGCATTTTTGAACAATCATTCTGACTTTTCAGTGCAGTGCTTTTTTTCATTAACTGGTAACATTTTAGAGAGCTGGCTAAACCATTTTGCTGTGTTTGAGGCATGAGTGTTGCTGCTTTGTCATCATCTTGTGGGTTGAAATAATGGCACTGATATACCAGTGTGGTTTTGTAGTTTCTGGTTATATTTCACCACACAAATGGGGAGATTCGTTTGAATGGCTGTAACTGAAGTGTTTGCAGAACAATGCATGTAATCTAACAAATGTTGGATGGCAAAATATAAGATTTAAACAAACCATACAGAAAGGTTTTGTACATGTTCATGTTGCATAACTCATAATCTAAATGACAAAGCACACACCAAAGATCAAAAGCACACTAGATTATTTTATTAGTTTTTGTTTTTCTAATAAGGAACACTACAATTCTCATATTTCTTTTGTTTTTTTTTCCTCTTACTAGAACAGTTCTAAAGTTGAGGTATAAAAGGAGTTCATAACAGACTAGCAAGTCTGAAAATGGCAAGGTTTATATACAAGAGAAATGGAGAGAAGAGGAGAGGTAGAGAAAGGGGGATTGGTGAGTACAGAAGGGGGGAAAGATGGGAGGAAGAAGGATATACTACAGTTTTAAGAAAATAATAGAAAAGTACAATTTGTCATTTGTTATGGTGCAGTAGAATTAACCTTGGGTCATGAAGTGGTCTCGCTGGTCTGCACAGGGGTTTCGTGAATAATATCAGAGTAAGAGTTCTGAACCAGGATCGGTTTTTGTGGCTGCGATCAATCCAAACAGGGCAGGAAACTGATGCTGGGTCAGTGCTCTTACCGGCTCATGCAAATCAGCCTTGACTGTTATGCTGCGTTTGCAAGGTGCTTGCAGAGTGCCCTCTCTTCTCATTCAGCTTGTTTGAAGTTATTTTAAGACCAACTGCAACGTGTGAACGCCAGCAAGAGGTGAACTTTCAGTCATCTTCCACAGGAATCTGCTTGCACTCTGAAACTATGGTGTGAAACGTGCTGCTTCTTTCTGCAGTGATGCTGATGCCACCACGACTAGCAATGAAAACGGAAGCGTACAATCGGAAGGTTTCAGACGTGTCTCTGCACATTTGACCTGCTTCAAGAGGTGTAAAGAAGAGTAAAACTGTGCATGCCCTGCCTGAAGTGCTAGGATAAGGAGTAGTGATGGAGGTTGCTATAATGAGCAAGAACACCACACATGAACAAAACTACAACCATCTTAATCCCACATATTAACTGTCTAGGAATACAGTTAGTGACCACTGCTCTAGGTTCTCAGTCCTATCTTCCGTAACCCAAATTATTCCCTATTTTTGCTATATTCCAGGTATTCCTGAACCATCTGAGCCAGGTAATCAACACTCTACACCCCTTAATGAGGTGTGATTACAGATAAAATACATCAATATGAGTGGGGGTCCTTGTGGACTGGATTGAGGAGCACTGCTCTAGACTATAACACCACTGTGGAACCCTTGAGAACCTGTATGCAATTTAAATTTGGGCTCACGAGGAAATTTCTCACTGCACCATGCACAAATATCAGCTCTAACAAAAACACGCAAAAAAAAAACTCCAAAACCCAAATTTAAAGTCAAACAAAACTCAAAATAAACATTACAAATATTACTCTAACTCATCAGCAGAGTAAAGGCAAAACAAACCAGGCATTAAAAAAAGAAACAACATGTAAGTATATAAAAAGAGAAGTACACTGAAACATTCCACAATCTGTACAATGACATCCATAGATGACCGGTACAAAAAGGAGAAAGAAAGAAAAAACAAAATGAAACGTAATTTGGTGTAATAATAGCATTAGTTATAAGACAGCCATATGAAATATTTGAACTAAAATTATTCTATACATGACACTATGATCTGGGTAAATCCTTAGAAAGGTCCTTAGAGTTTGTTCTTTCATACATATAAACAAAACCCCTCTTATGTTTCAGTGTTGAGTCCTTTTGTGTAACAATTTCCATTCATGTATCAAAAACCTGGTACTACCATGGTCCGACTGTATTAAAAAGAAAGAGAGAGGGACAGACGAGCGTTAAAAACAACACGACCCAGCATACCGTATCTCCTGTGTCAGAAACACGATACTCGAGATTGGTCTGTTATTCCTCAATGTTGGCTGCAGTCCACCTATTTCAAATTCAGAACATGTCTGCTGCTAGTTTTTGGTTAAACTTCAAAGGAGAAAAGCCCTTGTTGCTTGGCCACGTTAACTGGTTTTAAAAAAGAAAGGAGTTCCTGTGTTATAAAGCATAAAATGGTAAGCAAAAGAAGGGACGGCATGTGCTTTTATGGCATGCTATTATTACGGGATGGGTGCTTTCAATTGCACATATAATACAATCAGTTATTAAAAAAAGTGTAACTGACAAGACCAAAAAAAAGAGAAGAAAAAAAAACAAAAATCCCAAACACATCCTGTGCACACTCATGCGCACACACATATGTACCACGAGAGGCCATCGGACAACACATACAGAAGCACAAAATCAAAACGATTCCCTACAGTATCCGCTTCCTCCCAAACTGTAACAAGCACAATTTACATCTACATTTATGAGACACTCTCATAAGCATCTAGTATTTAACATTTTTGGTTTTGAAGAGTACAGGTAAAGACTGCAGTCTGCTAGCACTGGATCTTTTCCGGTGTGTCACTGCATCTGAGGGCTGATGCAAAGCCGTAGGGAAGCACACTGCACTGCAAAAAAGCCTCACGGTCACAGAGTCCTGGAGGGGCAGTACACTGTGTGCATGTACATGATACATGATGCATGGTAAGGTTATTTATTCATTTTGTTTTTTTTGGTCTGTCATATCCTCTCCTTTCTGTAGCATTTCTTTATGTAAAATTAACAATGAGGAAAACAAAAAGAATCTCAAACTGACAAGCTACGCAACTGGAATCTCTAAAACAGCTTTGAAGCCTACATGCATGGAAGACAGATTTATCTTATCTCTTAAAAGTTAAAAAAACAAAAGGACAAAAAAAAACAAGACACTAGAAACTCCCGGCCCAATTCTACACCACTGCTCCACATACCATCCACTCCCTTTCTAACAAAGTGAAAAACTCTAATAAAAGTCTACAATGTACTTTTATTTGGTGGCTGGTGCGTTATTTGTGGGAAGGTGTGTTACAAAAAAAATATTTCAAGAATACAAGAACTAAACAAAACCTCCACTTCTCTTAAAAGACACAGCAGGCTGGGGCAAATGTAGCCCCTAACTGCATGGTTTAAATTTTTCTTGCCCTCTGCTCCTGTACAGACCTGCCCACCATTTGGCTCCATTTCTCTAGAAGTAACTGTTAAAAATGACTCAGCACCCATTCTAGGTGCAATATGCTGTTGTCTTCTCCACTTCCACCCTCACTCTTCTCAAGCTCATTAATATTTGTGCTTAGTTGATTCTCTGAACAGCGGAATGCAACAGTGTAAATGCGCATGAATCTTGCAATAACAAAACTAGTTACCCTAATTTACTTATGCAGCTGTAAAGTACACAAAGGAAAACACTAACAAAACAAGCTCTAAATGGGGACTGAGGAAATTTTGCATGAAGTCTTTGCGTTTCAGTTGTCTGAGGTGGTTCTTCGATGAACAGAAGGAGATTTGACTGCTGACAGCACTTTGGTTTCAGCAGGAAGGTAGGAGCTCCTGTGTGGTCTTCACTGGCTGAACGAATGGGTCAGAAAACGTGTTCGAATGTTTGTAGTCTGCGGCCCATCAAAGCCCACAGTGGAGCTGACCTACAAAGTGGAACTTGGGGAAAAATGTTTGCCAGCTTTAACAGATGCTAGTGTAACAAAAGCAGAGATCGAGGAGGAAGCAGGGCTGCACTGGTGGAAGAGTTCAGATTGTGAACGTGTTTGTGGTGGGGGTGGAAGCTCCGTGTCTCAGGTGGAGGTGTCCGAATGGACGCTGCTGGGATGTCCAGGTGGAGGGGTGATGGAGGAGGGCTTGGGGTTGTCCTGCCAGCTGCTGTTGGCCTGCAGCAAAACGGGAATAGAGAGATTTACACTCTACACAGATGTTATGATTACTGCACATTACTGTCTAACCAATGCTATTGTTTAAAAAATGCCCAATTGTTCCAATTATTTAAATGGGCCGGTATATCATTCAAGTTTAGGAACGTCTTTAAATTACACAATTTACACATGAAAATGCAACCGGCAATTGATTCCCCTAGAGAGGCTGCTACAAATAGCATTTTTCCTGGGCCACTTTTCGAGAGGACAATAGCACAGCTACAACAATGTACTATAATGAAAGCAAACATCTACAAGTGATCAGACAAACTATTTTGTCCATGTTTAAGAGAACGTGTGATGCACAGCTGAAAACGTGTGTTTCTGAACCCTTTTTGAGGAGACAACAGCACAACTAGAACAGTGCAACACATTAAAAGCAAACATCCCCAAGCAATGTTTCATCCATGTTCTCAGAGAGGAAGTATGACGTATAGTAGTGAGAGGAACTCACACATGGGTACTCAAAATTACAAAGAAGGACATATTGGTCAGTGGTCTTGAGAGCTGTTGAGGAAGGCAGAGCTAAAGTGAGCCTTGGTCATGGTATTTATGTTCATTTTAAGTTTGGCTAGTAATAAGAGATACATCATTTTAGAACTTAAGAATACAGAACTTTCAGTAGCTAATCACTACTTTCCAGCATTTTGTTAAGTTTTTAAGTGTTTCTAATCATGAGCATATTGCAGTTGTCAGTGCCTCAGTTTAATCAAAACCAGGTTCTTATGTAGGATATGTTTAATATTTACTTCATATATATGCTTATGCCTGGTCCTACCTATCAGTACTACGTTTCATGTCCCATACATGGAACACTTTTTAATATTTCAGTGCATTAATACAAAGTTCAGTTGATGTCTGCGTATATCAATTGTGCATTTCCGTTATTAGGCTTGCCGGTTAACGATTAACCTTAGAGAACGGTCAGTTTTCAGTCAAAAGAATTAGCTGAAATCCGCATCCCATTTGGGGCTGGACCATATGGGCAAAACACTATGTTTCAATTATATTACTACATATTGTGACTATGCTATGCTTTGCAGTGCATTAAAACATACTGCTTTTATTAGGGATGCACCAATATTGGAATTGACAGCTTATGCCGATATTCAATAATGATACCAGTATATAAACATTATTATATATTGAATGTAGACATTAGGACTAGATCCACCTGGATTAGCATCAAAGAGAAATCTAACACTTATTTGTAGAGGGTTACAAATGCAGTAAAATGAATAAAATGCAGATAGTTTACAAGAGCAGTACCCTGCTTTGACTAAACATTCATTCTTTCATCAGATACTGGTTTCAAATATCACTCATATCATTTGCATATTAGTGCCTTCTGTGGTATCAGTATTGCAAAGGCCAATGTTGTGATAATGATCAGCAAAGCCCTAGTGCACAGATAAATCTCATATGCAGATTAGTACTGAAACCTAATTTGCTGAAACTATATGTATGTGTGTATCTCTGTGTGTGCATGCAACATAACTCACATCTAGGTGGTGTGGAGTGTAAAGGGCACTTCCTGACAGCTCCTCATAGCCGCCCGTCAGGTGTGTAGCACGGTGCAGGGTATCCACCTGTAACACAAAAACAGGGAAATACATGATCATCATTTCAGCCTGCATCCACACGCACCTGGCTTTAGCTTAACATGTACAATGGTATTTGAATAGCACCTGTTTTTAATTACAGTTTGATAACATCAGTGCATCTGAAACAGCTATCTTATCTTAAAGCTATCGCCAGCAATCATGCACTTCATAATGTTTACTCATGTCATGTCATGTCTCTACCCTCCATACTGATTTTGAACATTAATAGTTTTGCAACAGATTTCTCCTCATAGGTGAGTGAAACAAACAGAAAATCCCCAAAACCTTCAACATTCCAAGACAGGTCTCATAAATGTTTCATCATTGGTTTCAACCATGATCTTGCAGAGGGACGTCGCACGTCAGACACTGACTGTGGCAATTCCTCTAATCTCATACCCAGCTAACTCCTTGTCCTTGTTAGTTCTGCGTGCCCTAGACCCCAGACACAAGCCTGACAGTCTCTCTATGCTTTCAGTTCCAGCTGTCCTTATTCCAACGCTGACAGAATCATAAAGTGAATCAAGATTTTAATGGAAGAATCAAAGGACCACAGCACATAGGTGAAGGTACAAGGTAAGAACACGGGAAACAGCGGGCGAGTTCTATGAGTATGATGGTAAAAAAACACGACAGAAGGGGCCGGGTGGGTGCGCTCTATGAAGGGAGGGCTCAAGATTGGGAGATATTGCTGGACTCCAGCAGCAGATATGTGCTGGCACCACAGGAGGACAGGCTCAGGACGGACAAGAGGACAACTAAAGAAATCTAGAGCAGTGGTTCCCATCCCAGATCCTGGAGGACCCTCTGCCCTGCGCATTTTTGTGTTTCCTGCCAAAACACACCGATTTTATCTCAGGAAGGGTTTGCTAATTGGATTAAGTGCCAAGTGGATTAGCTGGATCAGGTGTGTTGGGAGCAAGGCAAAAAATAAAATATGCATGGCAGGGGGTCTTCTAGGAACAGGTTTGGGAACCACTGATATAGAGTACCAGTGCACTACATATTTTGGTGCTTTCCTTAGTGTAACACACCTGATCCAACTAATCTTTTAAAAAATTCTTCCTGGTAAATCAACAGTTCTCTGCTGTTTCATATTACACTTATATGCATCTTATTCAGCTATTTTAATTAAAAAAATTAAAATATACTTGAAATTGACTGATTGGCAAGAGAAACATTTTGGAAAAAGAAAAATCTCATTCTATTTGAAATGTGAACATCAAAGGTGTATATGAAAATGTAAGGTGTAAAAAGTAGTTTTTGACTTGAAAATAAAATTCAGTACGAGTACATATATTCAATTTCAATGAAAGCCCTAATCTTTCAAGATAATGTTCCTCCTTAAGGAGTGGACCATGTTCCTGAAGCTCATCAACACATCCTTCCTGAGTTGAAAGGATGTGTCAGAGCATGCAACACACTAAAATGTGCAAGGCAGGATTATTTCAGGATGAGGGTTGGGAACTTCTGAACTAAAGTAAGGAAGCACTGGGAGAGGAAGGGCATTGAGGCAGGCCATGGGGGGGGTCCTCAGTGCCTACCTGCTGCTGCAGAGAGGGGGCGATGTTGAGGCCCTCCCCGTTGAGCGAGCGCAGGCCGAGGTAACTGTCTCCTGCGCGAGACAAGCCATAGGACCCTGAAGACCCTGCAGGCAATACACGCAGTTTTGCCAGGGTCAGGTACGGAAAGAGTTTAAAGACATGACTATACGGAGATACTATCCACCCCGTGCTTAAAGCAAGAAAATCAGGACAGGTCACATTCCAGGGCATACGAGACATCCTGTTCAAGCTCTTTCATTATAGGGAAAAAAATTCAGAGACGAAACAAGCAGGAACAAATTGTTGTCAGCAAGCCACAACGAATACAGTCAAAGCAGGCACAAGTCTAACATTACATGTTTTCTTTTGCACCCAGTTCCACTTAACTTGTCTCTACTTGTCAATTCACATGAATTGCAATCTTGCATACCAGTAAAGGTAAGGCATCAGTGACAAACTGGGCAAGTCATGAATAAGCGTGGTAAGATAACGTTAAATCACCTACCTTTTACTGTCTGCCTCCTGAGCAAATAGAGGTTATTTATACTAGAAGTATACGTGTATGCACTTAAGTGGAAGTGGAACGGAAGGGGGTATTTAGTGTGTTTAATGTTAAACAGGCTCAAGTGAAGATGGTTTAAGGTGACAAAGACAAAAGCTAACAGCACGCCTCTGAACAGACATTCTGAATTTAGATAAAAATGCCAAAATCACAGGAAACCACCCACTAAACAGCATACAAGGACTCAACATACTCTTCACTAGTCTCATGGAAACTTAGAGCCTAAGAGAAAGTGAAAGATACTACCAAACATAGACTATGGCTAAATAAAACACACAACGTAGCACCTGTATCTTACTTGCCTTTATATAAGGAACACTATCACAACGAAGTGACAAATCTGAATGGTTAGGGACTACTTCTGAATTTAGCCCACAAAGCCTGTCCACCCATCAAACCAGACAGGGTACCGCACAAGACCTCAGAGGTGGCCATGAACACGAAGTGAAAACAACAGGACTCAGAAGTGGTGAAAAGACAAACACAGAGACACGAAGAACCTTGAAAAGGAAAGCCAACTGTGATAGCAGTGTGTGGGTGTGAATAAATCTGTTTGTATGGGTTGGGAGATGTCAAAGACAATGTCTTCAAGGCCAGTAAAGGCGCTGATTTAACTGCATTGGCATGTGTAGTTATCTGGCTGGTTTAAGGGATTTGGTGTACGTGGGTGTACGTGTTTGTTTGTGTACTACAGGATAAAAGGCAGGTGGTGGAGACATTACCTGAGTTGGGTGTCGCCGGAGAGTTTGCCTGGCTAGCCTGTGCAGACACATTTGCAGCATCCACCGCTGTTTTAACTGCGTACAGATTTGCTTCCTCTTGGAACTTACCAATGTTCTTCTTGTACCGAATTCTCTTGTTGCCGAACCAATTAGAGACCTGAAACGGCAGAAGATTTGATCTAAATGTCTGAATATCTCCAAGTGAGTGAACGGGAACAACAAATAATCTAAGGCAGATCTTTAAAAGACTTTTGTTTTAGCATTGTCCTTGCAAGGGATTGATGGAAATGAACTGATCAGGGCCTGTGCTGTGCTCTCACCTGAGAGACAGTGATCCCACACTTTTTGGCCAGCTCCTCCTTTGCTTCCTCACTGGGGTAGGGGTTGGACAGGTGAGAGTAAAAATACTCATTCAGCACCTCTGTAGCTTGCTTATTGAAGTTACGTCTCTTGCGTCTGTCGACAGAATAAATAACAAATAAATAAATATTTAGCTACCAATAAGCAATTTGGAAAGATTTTAAAGGGGAATTTCACCAATTTTTTCAAACGTCTGCACAATTTAATTGTTAATTAAAGTCGTTCAGAGTGATTTGATGTGAAATGGTTCACTGTAGAGAAACTAACTCAGATTTCTTTACAGTGGTGGTGATAGGTACTGGGGTCATGATGTTTACAAAACAAATGTATCCAAAGTTCCTACAAGTATCTTCTGAGTTTTTATATGTAATACTGATAATGGTAAAATAGTGGTAAATCAAAAACAATTTCAGGGACTATTTTGCTTTCTCTCTCGCTAAAATCTTATTTCAAGACTACTGTAAAACAATGTCTTGGGCATCAAGCATCTGTAACAATTTCATGTAACATGTACTTTTTGTGAAGTAGATCTTGGGGGCATTCTTTGGATGTCTGGTTTCTGTCATTGTGAACAACTCTGCCTTGGCAAATTTTCCCTAAAATGGCGCATTTCACATCAAAACCACCTGGGATGACTTTGTTAACTTCTTAACATCTTAATTATTCAAAAAACCTTCAGTGTAATTTCCTTTTAACTTTCACATAAAAAAATAAAGTAGTCCACAAAGCAATTTTTTCTATATTCAGAAATATTAAATTGTCCATTTGTGCAGAGACAAAGGACACAGACTGCAGACTTGCATACACACCTGGCATCGAGGAAGCGAGAGCGGAGGATCATGACTGCCTCACACGTGCTCTGTTTGAGCTGCATCTGGATGGAGCTGAACTTGCGGTGGATGATGGCCACCATGCGCTCGATCTCTTTGGGTGAGATGGGCCGTGTACGTGACTGCTCCCGCAGCAGGTTCATCACATGGGTGGTGAATTCACTGCAAGCCTGGGACACCACACAGAGGAAGAACGTCACTACAAAGTGTAGGGCTGCAGGCTATGATCAAAAAAATAACTGCACTACATAATTGTATTTGTATTACCACATATTGACACTGTAATAAGAGGCAACACATGAGTAAACACTTGACATTTCCATATGGTACATTTGCACTGTTCTGGAAAAAAATCTATGTACATCTGCCTGATTTGTAAGGGAGCTTTAAAAAGAGCAGCATGCCCAAAAACACAAGCAAACAGTTCTGTGAATTGTTGAAATGTTCAATTGCATTCTGTGGCCTTTTTCCAAATAATTTTGGAGATTCTGCTATTAGCATTTTCCAACTTTGCCTTCAAGCATGTATTACGCACCCTAAACAGAAAGCCACTGAGAACCTAATAATGCACTGAGTATGATAGCTACATTTCTAGCACAATTACCTAGAGATAACAGCAATGTAAATACATCTAGATTCCCAGACCAAGATTAAAGCTAATGTTGGACTAAAAAGAATTACCATTGGCACTGCAATTTACACTAGGCTTAATCCATGTCCAAGAAACTGCCCCTTAGAGTAAATACACTTTAAATCAAAGTCAAATCACACACATGGTTCACCAGCCTGCTGGAATGTGTCTCGTACCTGTTCGTACTTCTCCAGCTCTGAGTGGTAGATCTGGCGGATCTGTGCGAGTTTGGCTCTGTAGTCCGAATGCTCGATGCTTCCATCATTGGGTGACCCCCCTGCCGCTGCAGCGGCTGCTGCGGCCGCAGCTGATCCACCTCCTTTCTCTGGGCCTGACACACCCTCAGCGAGAAGCATGTTGTCCAGGCGCATGATCTGAGGGTCAGGGGGGTCCTCCTCCTGCACCCCTCTGATACTCAATACTGCAGAACAAGGAGATAAGATACAGGCTTTTGTAAGAACAGAAAAAGCACAAATTGTAATGTCCTGCATCTAAAGCAAACAACACAGTGGTAATGGTCATGCATTAAAATTAAGGCTGCAACCAGGGATAGGCATTGTCTGTTGCCCGGTGTCCCTGGCAACATTTCACATTTTGGCCACTAAAAATGCAGAGCCTGTGGCTTCGGTGGCCACTTGCCTTGCAGATATTTTTTACATTCTTTCCCTTTTTAACACACCTATCTGATCAGACATGGAATTAGTCAGACAAATCAGATCTTGTTACAATGTGTTAACTGCAGTGCGATAGCTAGCATGATTAATTTTTGGCCACAAGATTCAATGATTATCAACTAATTTAACCACTATGCCTTCTTTGATTACCTTTTCAGCTGCCATCAGTCAACATTTTGTCTATACAATAAGTAATTTACTCTATTTACTCGCATGACACAATGAACAGAAGCCATACTGATCACTTCTTAAGCGTAACGCAGTTGGAATGACTGTGTGTGTCGTAGGAACATTACAGAGCCTTTTTTCTTTAACCAAGTTACAATCAACTATGTATTCTTAATTGCTGTCATCACCTAACTGCTGCAGCCCTATTTAAAGATATACAACATAACCAAAACAAAAAAACACCACTAACAAGAATTAGCCCTTTGTGGTAAACAGCTGGACCTTTGATTAAGGTAACAGTTCTGCTTTTGACCAGCAGAGGGCAGCATGGTCCCTCTGTGGCAATGGGCCATTGTAAGGCGAGTATGAGACATGGCTCCAGTAATAGGAGAGCATGTGCTGTCACTAGCACTGCTGGCAGCCATAAGCACAGCTTTCAGCCCCAGCAGTCCAGCAGTGTATTAACCCCGAACCTCTGTCACCCTCCTCACTCTGGCACATCTCTCACTTAACTTACAAGCACCCGCCTTATATTTATGTACATGGGAGGCTGAAAAGCCAGGGGGATGCACATGAGAGAGAAAAGAAGGTGTGCGGCATGGGACGATAAGGAAAGGAAGGCCACTCTTTGTCCTCTGCTGCACAAAAGCAGCCGAAGTCCTCACCGAAACACACTGACAACATTCCAGAATGAAAAGCATGAGCAGTAACTCTTTGAGGTTGCCGGTCCAGCCAGTTTCTAACGAGTCACAAAAAATAAAGACAGTGAGAAATAACCTTGAGCTGTTATTTTTTTTAGTGTAGAGGGCCATGCATATCATTTCTGTACTATCAAATCCTTTTTTAAATTTTTTATTTATTTTAAAATATACATTAAAACTGCTGTTATTTATATTTGTGAATGCATCATGATGAAAGGATCAAAAGAAATGGCCCAGACTTAAAAATAAAACCTCTTTACCAGTGTAATTTAAACTAAGGGACACTCATTTTGGAGATCTGGGGTTTTGTTAGTACAGCGTCCACTTCACTGAGCACGTTACAGGCTGCTCTGCTAATGTGGATCTGCTGACTGTTCCACCCAACAGAACAAATCAAAGCTTTTCTTTGTATTCCCTTTCAAACATTTAACCGATAACACATTTCAGCTGCCCCAACTGTAATACCATCCAACCACCTAACAAATCTAACTTTCCCCATCCCCCCACTAATGATCTCCCCTCCTTCAAGTTCTAAACTTCTTTTTTTCCCTCTGGCTAGCACTCTTTTCATTCTTGTTCCCTCTTGCCTCTTCTGGGTCTCTCCATTCAACCCCCCCTCCACCACATTCCTTCTCTCCGTTGCTCCCCCTCTCACGGTTCAGGAATGCAACGTACCCAGCCGACTGAACTAATGACCCTGTTTCGCCCATCCCTCTCTCTCTTTCTTTCTCATTTTCAACCAGTGAAGATCTCTCAAGTCCGATAAAAAAAACAAAAAACAACAAAAAAAAAAGAACTAAAACTTTTTTTGGAGGGGTACATTAAATCAGATTAAGTGTCTGTGCACATTTCCGTGGAGACAGTGGCTGTGCAGCGGAAAAGGGATTTAGACCAACATGCAGCAAGCAGACAGCATTAAAAAAATAAAAATAAATAAATAAAAAACACAACACTCCACGCATATGGTTCAGTACACAAACACCGGTTCGGCCGCCCCAAACACGCTCTCAGACTAACCATTTTCTGAGCTGCCCAGGCAGAAAGAACCAAAGGTTGGAGATGGTCAGAGGAGTGATACCATTGTACCAGCTTAGGAATCAAGTCAAAGGTGTATTCCTGCCCCCTCCCCAGGCCTTTCTAACCCACCCCCCTCTCCAATAACAGAATGTAAACCCTCCAGCTGCAGACCTAAAGCTTACTGCCCTGTGTTTACCCTAATTATCCCAATTAAGCCATGATTGCTAATAATCACACAAATACCCTCACACCATTTCAAGCCAAGGGTTATGGACCTCCTGTTTAAACTGCTCTTCTGTCATTCAGATTCAGCGCACCGTATGGTGCGAAAATGATTTCGAAACCCACAATTAGCCACTAATTAAATGGCAAATGGCAAAAGACAAATGGTGGAATATGTATCTCTCTCAGTGGGTTTCCCTTCTGCGCGGAGGCTCTGAGGCGCAGCCCGCAAGTTCACGGTGTGTGAATGTGTTCTTTAAGAGGATTAATAAAGCCAGCCTGTAAATCTTTCAATTAGCACACTTCATTAATATAAACACACCCCCATGCTAATGAGATAATGCACGTTTTAATGCGCTACATCTGTCCAAGTTGTGCTAATATCCTTCCATTAAATTCATGAACCTTCAACGTAACAATAAACAAAATGACTAAATAAATAAAATCCTGTCCAATCGCACCGCTCCCAATTTCCCAACGCTGAGGCATTTTTAACAGCTAAAAAATAAATACATAAATAAAAAACGAACAAGAGCCAAAACAAATCCTCTCTTATACACCTCCCAGGCTTGGTAAAATGTGTGGGGTTGGCTTACAGAGCTGGCAAGTCATCCTATGAAATATTCAGAGAAAGCAGCTGGGTTTGACTGCATACATAATCCCTCTCATTTTGGCCCAGACGATGGAGCGATGCTATTCAGGTACACTACAGGTGATGTGTTAAGTGCAGACGAAGGCATTGTGTTCACTGCTGCAAGCAGTATATTAATGGTGCCATTTTCAGTGCATTACTGGAGACACAGTCCATCACGGCTCCGCTCTCAGCTCCTGCTCAGCCCTCGTCTGTCTTTTTCTTCTGTACCGCTTAACGCTCTCGCTCTCTTTCTCACTTGCATCCCCCTTTTCACTCTGGCCTCTCTCCCGCCAAACACACCCCCCCTTCTCTCTCTCGCTCTCTCTCTGCGCCCCCAGCCCCCCGGTCTCTCCCTCTGTTCTCCATTTCAGTCGAGTTCTCCATGTGAGCCGCAATCCCTCATGCTGTCAGCCCTCCCTCCCTCCCTCTCTCTGTAGACAGACAGGATTAGCATTTTAATTGCATCAGCTCCCTTGGGTATTCTCAGCCTTTCACTGGGAGAGCGTGAGGGAGCAGGGGAGAGGGGAAGAGAGAGGGAGAGAGAGAGAGAGAAAGGTAAGAAAGGGGGGAGAAGGAGAACCAAGGAGAATTGGGGGGGAAGCAAAAAGGAGAGTCACAGGAGGTGATATAAAAGCATCATGGTGACGAAGAGAAAGGCGGCGGGGGGGTGGAGGGGGGGATGCAGCACAAAAGAGAAGGATGGGTGAAAGAGTGAGCAAAACCAGAGAGGGAGAGACAGACACTAAGAGGGAGAAGAAAAAAAGGAAGAGAGAAGATGATCGTGGTGGGCTGAAAGCAAGAGCGAGGAGAAAAGACGTTCAAGAAATGCCTGAGTTCTGACCGCAACTGCTGATAAATCTAAAAGAAGGAAGGCTAGAGCGATAGGGGCGGCACTTCTGAGCACCGAGGAAGAATTGAACAAAAGAGCACAAATGGATGAAAACAAAAAAAGCTAAATTGTAGCCTGTGTGTGCTAGAAATATGTTTCTCCAAAATTAGAAATGATAACGAAATTAGAGAAACTGTAATGAAAGATATGCAACATAATATGAACACACATAGTGAGGATTTTTAAAGGGCCCCTGTCCTACATATTTCTTGTATTTATTATTTCCCAAAGCCCACTTAAGACATTTGTATGGTTTATGTATCAAGAACAGTTTTCCAACCTCCTTTTTTTGCCGCAGAATTAAAACAGGCTGTTTTTGTTACTGTGCCTTTAAGACTGACATATGTAATGGATCTAAGCTTTGACGGCTGTCCTGTATCGTGCCTCATTCAATAAGCAGTCCAGGCTGCAACACAATAACTTCAAAGTGCTTGTTAAACAAGCAGATATATAAATGTCTTGGTTTTCAACACATTACAAAAACAATTAAATCAAACAGGCCTGTTTTTGGGCCCCATATATGGACCATACAGAGTAGTACATTTTCAACCTTTAACAATGTTTACATTCTACAGCAAACTGTTCAAAAAAGTGAGGAAGTATATATTTTTTCCATGATATAGGACCTTTAATGTCACAACTTTCTGATTTAGCCCTCAGAAGCTCATGTCCATCACTGGATTTAATTATTTTGATCAAACTGAATGACTCAGTCAGGTCCTGACTAGGACCACCATGGTAGTGAACAAGAATTACAAATTACATTCAAAAAAACAAAGCCATACTATCCATAAATCATATAAACCATTCATTTCTACTATTCTTGTACTTATGTTCACAGCATTGACATAAACTGATATAACCAAAAGTGTGTCCTCTCAAAGCTCAGTGTGTCTAAACTCGTAAGCCCTATATTTTAATTTATAAATTAATCATGAACTTACTTTCAATGGTGAAATAACCAAACCATTTAATGTGATAATGCTTATTGCTTCAATACTTCATGTCGTCAAGTTGCCTATACCAGTTTTAATTACGTACAATTGGTTAAATGACTTAAAATACAACTCACTTTGTAAACAGTTTTCATGTAAAAAAAAAACCCAAAAAACCCCC